CCTCTTTGTTCTTCCTGTCAAGCGGCTTACGGAGGCCGTTCACTCGGAGCAGGGCCTAATTAAAAAGGGAACAGGCGTCAGTTTCCAAACAAAAAACAGGCGTCCTGGAATTCAAATACTTAAAAATATGCTAATTATACCTCAGCAAGGACCCCTGCAATCCCGTCTAGGTCAAGGGTGCCGACACCCCTGACCGCCTCCCTTTCAGCCGGAGGAACGACCTTGATCATAAACTTGGCCACCTCGACCAAGTCAGGCTCCTGAGGGCCGGCTGCATCAAGCATAAACAAACGGATTAGACCTAGTAAAGAAGGGAGCAAGTCTAAAATTTACAAGGACAATTTCATACTTCTAGGTGGCCCAGCTGGAGTTTTAGAAGGAGTGGCCGGCTGCTTCTCAGCCGCCGCATGTTTCCTGGCAGAACCAGGAGAGCTCGCAACAGTCGTCCTCCGGGTCTTGGAGTCCGGCTGTTGGGAAGAAAAATCTCTTGGAGCTCCCGTCTAAAAAAAAAAAAAAAAAAAAAAAAAAAAAAAAAAAAAAACAAACACTCGGTCAGTATATGCATAAACCCAACTCCAAAAAAGAGAGTGAAAGGTTCGAAGCTCACCAAGGGTGCCCCCTTGTTGGGGGAGTCGGTTGAAGACTGTTGCATGATGGAGGCCCGCAACATGGCCGCCGCAGTCTTGGAGGCGGTAATTTTGCTCATGGCGTCCGCTGCAAAAACAAATAGCAAAGTTAATAAAAAGTCATAACAGAAATGCATGGAAAAACAGAGTATTCGACAGGCCGACTACCTCTTGAGCACCGACTGCTGAGGCCACAGGCGGCCAAAAAGTACTCGTCGTAGAGCCATTTGAAGCTCGGGACGCAGTGCAGGGGTACTTGCTCTCGTACCCCTGAAGTAGAGTCAACCCTCGACTCTACTTTAAAGAGTCCTTTGTCCAGGATCTCTTTCTTAGCTTTGGAGGGAACAGGCGGCATGCTGCGGCCGCCTGCAAGAAGAGGCGGATTCCTATTCCACCTGTTGAAGCGCTTGTTCAGCTCTGTGTCTGAACTCTCAATGATAAGGAAGGTGCTTCGCCAGTCCTTCCACTTGTTTGCTTTGCCCCTTGTCATGAGGTAGCCTCTGTGGCTCGTCAATTGATACTAGCCGGTACCGCCTGCCTTAGGGGTCCGGCTGAGGTAGTTCATGTGGGCGAAAGCCTCGAAGTTTGGCTCCACCCCGTGCAGTTCGCACCCGGCCACATAGCCGAGTACGTTGACCCAGGAGTTCGGGGCTAACTGCCATAACCCCAACTCATACCCATCCAAGATCTGCTGAATAGCCGGATGTAGTGGGAAGCGCAGCCCAGCCTTGATGGCCGCCTCGTAGCAGCCAAAGCAGGCGCCATCATAACTAGTACCAGCCGGCCAGACGACTGTGTCTTCTGGATCCGGCACGAACACTAAAAAGCCGGGGCCCATTGGTGGTTCGCAATAAAGCTCCCCACTTTCTCTTGCATGGCCGTTATCCGGCCCCGTGGGATAGTGCAGTAGTTGGGGGTATTTTTCTCTCGGTAAGAGGCGGATGGCTCCGCCCAATTGTCCCCCTTCTCAACTGCGTGAGAAAGCCTCGCCTCTTGTAGGCGACTGTTTTTCTCTTCTGTGTCCAGAGAAGCATGGCCAGAAGAGCTAGACTCGGATTCGTCCTCTGACGAGTCCGAAGAGGATGACTCCTCCCCTCTCCCAGAGGGGCCCGCCTCCTCTCCTTTAAAAGGAGCAGGAGAGAATGTAGACTTGTCAACTGTAAAATTGGAAGGGGTCACTTTGACTCCTCCCTCAGAACTGTCGGCTTTCAAGCCGCTCTGGTTCACTTCCACATCTGGCGCCTGGTCAGATGTTTCACAAATCGGCACCCTGTGGGAGGAGCCGTCTGAGTTCGAAATCCTAGCAGTTCTTTTTGTTCTGGCCATCATGTTCTGCATAGACACAGAGACAGTCGGACTTTGTATAAAGGGCAAAGATGGGTCCGGAAAAGGGCAGGCGGCACTCCTAGTCCTAGATTCAGCCGTCCCCGGTGACCAGCTGATCACTAACCTAGGTCGTGTCGTGTGCTTCCGTGGTGCCATTTCAAAAAAGAATAAAATTAAGAGAAAATTAAGAGTAAGAGAACCGACGGTTACCTGAACGAGTGACGTTGATGGAGTTCTGAAAATCCTTTGCAGTCGGCTTGTCAGAGCAGGCGGTAGGCAGAAAGGGTCCAAAATGTCAGAGCAAGTTCAGGGGTCCGAATGTTCTCTCAAAAAGTTCTCAAGTGTGAAAATGACCGAAGTCAACACTCCCTTATATAGGCGAAGTGAGAAGGCGAAGGGTCACTTCCAGAATTCAAAATTTTGGCGGGAGAATCTCTCGGCCTTTCGCCGAGTGACACCTGTAGCAGGTCGTCGCCTGTTACACGGCGACACCTGTCACAGGTAACACGTGACCAGTCACGTGCCACCTGTGAGGGGCAAATGATTAGGGGATTTTTCTCCCACCAATCGGAATGCGCCACGTGGGCCAATCAGGTCCTGCCAAGTGTCCCCCAGTTGGAACTGTCAGGGCTTGCCACGTGGCACACGCTTATTCGTCCACCCTGGACCTATTATGTCATGACACGTGGCATACTCCATGTCTAATGGAGAAACCGGCCACCTAGGCCCAACTTCCGAGGGAAGCCCAATCAGCCCAAGGTTAACCTAAACCTAGGATTGGCACGTTTCCCGAGGTTATAAATACCTCCCTTAATCCTCATTAAGGGGGATTACGCACATTAAACACTCTCACCTAGAGAGACCCAATCACTTTAATTTCCGCATTAATTACTCCTTAAGCAAGTACTAACTTGACCGTTGGAGGCGGATCTCCAATCATCCGGAGCATCCGTTTGTTTTGCAGGTACAGGCGTCCGGTTCCAGTCTCGGAATTGTAACTCTCCCGCAGGACATCAGAAAACCCCGAAACAAAAATCATAGTAAAAGCAAAAAAAATTATTATCTTTTGCCGATACACTTGATTGAGATGATGAATTTATTACTTCGACATTAATAAATAATCTGCATATTGAAAGACATGCCAGACTTAGTGACAATTGACATCTCCTTTTGTATCTTCTTTTCTTTTGATATATATCTATTATCTACAATTAAACTTTTAAGAAAATAAACAAAATTGATTAAACTACAATTATTGGATAGCTTCAAACACATTATTTATAACAACATAGAATGACGATATCGTATATTTAGAGCATCAATCCATAAATAGAGAATATAATAATATAGATTAGTGTTGCTCAATTATTGATTGTTCTTCCCTTTAATGATCAGAGTAGTATTTGTTTCCATTGAAAAGATTTTTTTGCTAATAGTTTTACTGGAGATTTTAGTCTGTTGTTTGATTAATTTTTTATGTTGATTAAAATCAATAACATAATACTAAAATAGACACTGGGAGTGACACGTGTCTTATCCTGGTGCTGTTTTTTCCCTCCAAAACACCCCTTCCCTTTTAAACTATTTTATTTATTTTTTTTGTTAATATTTGATGATATAATAATATCATTCCAAATCTTTTATATTATGTTTATGATACATATATTCTTTTTACTTCGTGTTTATAATTTTTCAATACACATTTACCTAAATAATTATTCCAACACCTTTTAATTATCCTTTAAATGGAGTATTATTAGATTTTGGCAAAAAAGTAATAATAAATTGATTCATATGATAGATGTTAAGAAAATTTACTTTAAAACATCACTTAATTTTTTTTTTCAAATACCTCTAGCTAATATTTTATTTCAATTTCATTATAACTATATATTCAAATTAATTACAATTTTGTTCTGAAATTTTACTACTACGTATATATTATCACAAATTAAGAATTTGTAGAGTATAGTATAACATATGTCTAATTCTAGGGAAAGGTAAAGTATCAATTAATTTTCTTTGTAAATTAAGTAATTAAAACAATCAATATCATAGTAAAAGCCAAGAAATTTATTATCTTTTGTCGATACACTTGATTGAGATTATAAATTTATTACTTCGATATTCATAAATAATCTGCATACTGAAAGATAGACACGCCAGACTTAGTAACAATTGACATCTCCTATTGTATCTTCTTTTCTTTTGATATATATCTATTATCTACAATTAAACTTGGAAGAAAATAAACAAAATTGATTAAACTACAATTATTGGATAGCTTCAATCACATTATTTATAACAACAGAGAATGACGATATCGTATATGTAGAGCATCAATTCATAAATAGAGAATATAATAATATAGATTAGTGTTGCCCAATTATGGATTGTTCTTGCCTTTAATGATTAGAGTAGTATTTGTTTCCATTGAAAATATTTTTTGCTAATAGTTTTACTGGATATTTCAGTCTGTTGTTTGATTAATTTTTGATGTCGATTAAAAATGCATTTATAAATAAGTATTTATTAATATGGCCACTAGACCTGATCAAACCAAGCCTTACCTGCTCGGGTTTGGGGAGCCCAAAATATCCAATTTTTTTCCTTTCCCTATTAATATAGATTATGACATTATAATTTCTATATATTTGATGCGTATGTTTTATCAAATTTTTATTTGTTGGATATAATTAATTTTCTTAAAAATTTTAGACTTAAATTACCGTGCATGACACGAGTCTTAAGCTAGTTAATAGCAAATTTGACCTTGAACATATAGAGTAATACATCGAATTTCTTATGGTATGGAATGGAAGATTTAGATTTAGACATAGTTTTATTTGGTTGTGTTGAAAATAGTGGAACTGTTGAAATCATCATCACATCAACTCGGGTCAAATTGCTTGACCATCAATTTCTATTTTCTAGAGTAACATTCTACACTTCGTACTCCTATTGAATAATAATGATGCAAACACCCTTTTGTTAAATAATCATTCGCAGCACGATTACCTTAGTCGATCGATTGTTCTTAATACACAGGTGATCCTGAGCTACTCCCAATTTTAAAAGCCGTGAACGCGAGAATGGGCTCGATTGCCCTAGTACACATTGAAGACATATGCAATGCGCACATATTTCTTATGGAACATCCAAATTCTGAAGGCCGTTACATGTGTTGCACTCAAAATTGTCATATGTCACACTTATTGGAACTTCTTGCTCAATCATATCCTAGTACATCAAATATGAACTGGTAATATAATACTTATTATTTCATCTTTTATATGTCATCTTTCATTAATTGTTGTCTTTTGGTACGATCACTGATTTTCTATGGTACGTCGTTTTCGATTTTGTAGGTCGAATGATGAAGGCATCGTCCCATCAGTGATTTCGTCAAAGAAATTGAAGGATTTGGGATTTGAATATAAACATGGCCTAGTAACTATTATCAACCATACTATTAAGCAATGTATGGAATGTGATTACCTACCTTCCATTGAATAGTTATTAGTTATTTGTTTCCTATGAATTTTGTTAATCTATGAGGACAAGATCAACTAGGAATATATACCAAACATTGCATCTTATTTGATCTTTTTTATGAAAATATTGTATTAGTACTTGGAAAATCAGTTGTTACTTTATACTAACATCATGTTAATGAAGGTTATTAAATTTAGAGTGCCTACACAAATTTCACAATTGTATGTAGAATGGTTCAATGTTCATGTCCATGAGTTCACGTACATAGATTTGGAGGGAAAATAGTGAGTAGGTCAATGTGAATTGAAGTCTGATTTTAGATTGAGAATAAATAAGAGGAAAAACTTACTCCTTAAAAAAAACAAAAAGATGGAGTAACATAATTGTGAGACATCTCAAATTAGCATTAGGGACGACATTTATCTTTGATAATTAAATTTTACCATCACTCCAATAGCAGAGCAATTGATATCAATTCATATTAAAGTGTCAATGACTTACTATTAATATTAAGATAGCTCAGTACAAGTGTACAACACCAAACTAGTGAGTTGACATGTGGATCGGCTCAACCGGGCCCACTATCATCACCATCCCCAACAGCTTAAAAAAAGACTGGGATACCAACATGTTTTTTTACTTGTTTATCCATAAAAACCAAGGTGTAGATATAGTCAATTCATAGGTAGGTGCTATAGTTCACTTAACTAGTTGTTGATTCTTAGAGCTTTAGTATCCTCTTCATCAAGCAAGTATGGACCGATCAACCTTCTTTCTGACCTTATTCCTAAAGAACCATAAACTTTAAAGCTAGGATAATAACATCTTTAACCTTTTCATTTACATACAAAATAAGATGGCCTATTTATAGTCAAGGAAATGACAAGCTAAACTAGTTGATTGTACAGTAGTAGTAATCTAATCTTCCAATGTTACATGTCAAAATTGGTTTAAAACTATTAGCATGTACCCTGTAGACGTTTGTGAAAGTTAATTACATTCTACGTTATATTTTTCTTGATTTAATTGTCGTGTTACTAGTTTAAATTGAATTATCAATGGAGATAATTAATTCCGAACAAAGAGAGTATGAATTAAAAGAACGCTTTTAATTCCCTAAACCAATACCGGGCTGGGCAAAGGGTTTTAGACAATTGTCTTGTTATATTTGGCAATGTCGTGTGCCCTTATTTATGTCCACTTTGTCTTATATCTTGTTTGCTAACATGCATTAAACTAACTCTGAACTCACGAGATTGGAAGATATTATTAATCAGCAGTACAAACCTGTTGTAAAAGAGCTGAAAGAGTAAAAGTTATTATGTTTCATTAGTAAGGTAACTGACATGATTGAGGCTTGAGCTTGTCTGAATCAAAGGCAGCCTTTCCACCAACCATATTTAAGTCCTTCAAACATGCAATATGAATAATAAGGTAATTTCGCGTTTTTATCTTATATACGGCGTAGAAAAGAAAGTTTCACGAAATATATGTTCACATAAGAATCAATATTCTACTTAGAATCAATATTCTATTTATATACATATAAGTTCAAATAAAAATGTTTACTTAAAAAGAGTAAAGTTAATATAATACATATTCCGTGTATAAACTTTATATTTCTGTCCATTAATTTAGACGGAAATTATGCAAAATTTTCGTAGTAGTATGGTCAAATCTCACACATGGACACGTATTTGAAATTGACACTTGTGACCGAGCACAAGTAACATTGATCTGTGTCGATTTTTATATTCCTTCAAAAGGACTCCTATACAGTTCACATTTAAGTCCATGACATTCAACTTTCAAGCATTCAAAAGATTTCGCTCCACAATTTAGAGATTACTCACATAATGAGTGTTGGAGGTTGCAAGGACCATAAAGCTTTAAAAGCTATGCAGGAATTGCAGCTAATAACATCACCAAACTTCTTAACTCCCAAGTATATATTGATATTAAATTAAATGCTCTTTCTAAATATATATATATATATATATATATATATATATAAAAGGATTTACTTCCTTATGAAAATCTATGGAATATCTGCCCTGTTTTTTATTTTATTTTTTTTGGGACAGATTTTACAAGAGAAATGAAATTTATTTACAGCATGAATTTAAATCAGAGATAATTGAAAGTGAAGACAAATTTAGCCTGGTGCAAAAACTTTGTTTCTATTTTTAACCTTAAGTTTATAACTTATTTGCATGGACCACATGCCCTTTTGTCATATGATGCAATTGGTTTTTCAAAATCTTGCTATGTTACTGCTAAGGTTTTGTATTTAATTTCAGTATTTATGAATTTGCAAATGATTCCTTTTCTTTGTCCCCTTTCATGATCCTCGGGGATAAGGTATATCACGTCGCATTAAGAATTACTCTATCTGATCATAAATAATATTGTAAAGTAGTCAAAGTCATTCAAATATATGTACAAGTATACGTGGAATTCGTAGTAGATTTATAACATTGAGTTTTCCAATGCTTTGTTGTAAAATTAGTACTAAGGATTTTTGGAAAAAGTTATCACATATTCTAAGATTGTTCAAGTATTTCGTAATAGCTTGTGACTGCTAGTACGAAGCTAGTACGAACCACGTTCTCGTATACCCTAATCAGTTGTTATGAGTGCTACTAATATCGAACAAAGGGAGTATAAATTCTGGTTGGATCTTTCTCAATCTTATTATTTTACGAAAAAGTCCACATCATGTTTCTTTAATGCAAACTATAAGTGACAAAACTGTGTAAGCATCATAACTATCTTTGATGTACACTAGTATAAAAAATGGAAACGATATATTGCACCAATGACAAACAGCACTCCAGTAAATCAGTAAGTAATTTGAAAAAATTAATGGTTTTCTAAGAAGGCAGGTCTCAAGTCTCAACTCTCAATGTCTCATAATATATAGTTAATCTAATAAATTAGTTTAATAACTGTAAAAAAAAAATTAAGAATTTATTAAATATTGGTAATCCTGACAAATTATGATTCTAGAATTCTTCTGTTCATTAATTAGAAGGATCTGTTCATTTATTAGAAGGAATCTAGGGTGCACGATTTGATCATCATAGTATTACTGTATTAGTAGACTAATTCTTCACTTTTGTCATACTTGAGGAGCCAAACTGTTAGTAAAAAGAAAATTAGCATATGTCAATTATTTGTGCTTTGTTGGTTGGTCAAGTAAAATGCTACATATAAAGACAAGTAATGCTGTAATGACCTTAAGAGGTTTAAATTTAAGGGTCATGTAACTCATGTTCGAGTTGATTTTGGGTCAATTTTAGCTAGGTCATGGTCAAATGTTTTCAAGAAAGAAAAAAAAGGACAAAGGAGGAGTAAAAATGCAAAATAATACGGAGTTACAAAATCCTTTAGGCTTTAACTATGTTAGTTTCAATATGTTCGCTTTGTGTGTAGTTTGGATATGTTGTTTCATATTTCACTATCATTTCATATTAAGTCGGCTTAGAGATTGTCTACTCTATTTTAAACCGGGGAAAAGGGGGGGGGGGAACCGATGAAAACAGTTGCTTGAAAGATCTTCAACTGTTTGATAGTTTGGGGACTTACTAATGTAATGACTACACCTACCAATCCAGAGCTATGAAGTTGATATTAGACCCACCTCATAACTAGTGTACAAGTATATCTAACCACTCTAAGAACATCAAAATTTCGATTCTGGCAAAATTTACTCTTGTACTTTATTACTTCCTCCGTTCTATTAATATTGCAACAAGGATGGAATTATGCATCCCAAAACACATTTTATATGCTAAATATCTATAATTGTGTAAGAGTAAAACTTATAAAAAATTGATATTGTGAAAGTATTTTATGAGACGAATTCAACAAAATCCTACATAACTATATTTTGCTTAACGTATAAATCATATTATATGGTCAAACAAGAGTGATGAATAGTGCAAAAAGTCCATTGTTGCAATATTAATAGAACGGAAGAAGTATTTAAATCCTATTTTGTACTTGCAAATTGACGACATTCTACTGTTTTTTTTTTTCTTTTAATCAGTATATAAATATCTTCACTTCCCCAAACAAAAGAAGAGCAATTTCCAGGAGTTTTCTTGGCCAAAACTGATATTGTCCAAGTTTGGATACTTCTAAAAGGCTCCAACAGATATTCACAAGTAGATCCAGAACAGAACATGAAATATAAATCACGCAAACGCGCGCATAAAGGAACTTCCCAGTGCCTGAAATAATTTGCCGGGTACTCTTAATCTCACATTCATACTACATTGCACAGACTGAAAGAAATTGTCTGTGTCAATGTCACATAAGATGAAGTCTCCAAAATTTTCACCAAATGAACATTCAAAGCATCAAACTTCAAACATGAACACATAAAGGCTAATGGATAAGTGTCATTTTACGCGCAGAGCTGATAATGTATGTGATTTCACAAAAGATCTGTCAACGAGGCAATGAAAATTGGACGATTTTTAACATCCCTTCACATTCTCCTACCTACACTTCATACAATGCTCTCAATATATCAAGATTATACACCTTATCAAATGGCATTTTTGACACCCAAAAAATAAAAGATTAAATGTACAGTTTCAGGATTTGCAGATTACCACAAAACAAGGTAGTAGAGCCCTAGGATTGAGCAAATACAGCTCCTCAATGCTTGAATACAAACCAACTTTCCCAGCCAATGAATCAAACCCTGTTTGCCCTGCCAATTCCTGCAAGTTTTCCAATGGCCTGTGAACTCTTCCAGCAATCACTCTGCATACAATCAGCGCCTTCTTTATCGATGGATCACCATCAATGGACTCGATACCTTCAAACGCCCTTCCACTAGTCGAAGATGTAAAAACACCAACTCCGCTCTTAATTTCCTTCTTTGTATAGAAACCATGCCTTATGATTCGACAAACACAGCATTTTCCTGATACACAAAGGCTGGAAGATCCATCAATGCCTAGAGAACAGGCCACAGTAGTCCCGTAAAATCTTAGTAACTCGTTTCCGTCAGCAATACATCGTGGATGCTTCTTAGGGAGCTTACTGGCTTTGATCTTAACCATTTCCCTGTATTCTTCGAACCGTGCTATTGTTTTCTGGGTGTTATGGACTTTCAACACCCTCTCTATTCGACCACAGTGGTTCTCCGACTTCATCCAGTTTGTTCTGCATATTATTTCCACTATTTTCCTTGAAGAATCACCTTCCACAAGCTCAGTTACTGCAGCAAAACATCAGTATTATTCAATTTCTGAAACATTGTTTTGAATCCAAGACATTTATGGAACATTATAAAGTAAAACAGCTGAAATTAAGGACATAACATTCAAATGTATGTAGATTTGGCAAAAATGACTCCTACAAAACCAAAACCCGAAATGCACCCGAAACCAAATGACCCAATTGTGACTTATATCGAAATTGAACCAAACAAACCTGAAATTAATGCAGCAAAGAATGGCTAAAACCCAAGTATAACCCGCAATCGAAACGAACTATTTGCCACCTCTAATTGTTCACTAGCAGTAATGGCGGTTTTCTACTCAAATTAATACAGTAATAGCAAATAGATAGCATTCATAGACTAGAAATTTATGTGTACTAAAAAAATACCTGAAAATTAAACTAACAGCTGAAATCTAACTGCAATTAGAGCACATTTCAGGGGGAAAAGGAAACTTAATGTACTAAACTAAGGAGAGAAAAAAGCAAATTATTTCCAAAAAGAATGTCTAGAAGCTGAAATAAGTAAGCAACCCAAAAAGTGGAAAATCAAATTTAACTACTTTTACACTAAAAAGCATACTACTTTTGTAAAAAACAATGCAATCAAAAAAATCATCCAAAAAACCCTTAATTAACAAACAAAACTAATTAACAACTTAATTAGAAACTTACCAGCATGATTAGAGAGATGATGAGCTTCAAGTGCATCCCATTTGTTAAACTGCTCTTTACACTTATGACAACTCAATTGAACCGAAGAAGATGAAGATGAACCATTCGAATCGATTTCGAGGGAGAATCTCTTCTTTGAATTCACCCCATTACTACTTCCACTTCCATTTCCATTTTCTCTTTCCAAACTAAAGGACTTTCTTCCATTACTCCTTAAAAATGAAGGGTTGTTATTGCTATTGCTAAAGTAATGCATTGTAGGGTGTCCTCCAGGACCAGGGGTACCCGGCCTCAAAGTACCTACAAACGCAGACTCTTCACCCCTCTTCGCCTCATCTTCATGACCACCATTCGCATTACCGGAGACGGTACCGAACCCGGACCCATCAAAGGGACCATACCCGGTAATCTTGAGCTCACACCTAGAATTATTATTACTCAAAATAACTTCATGAGTAATTGGGTTTAAGAATTCACTACTACCAATAGATCTTGGACTACAACTTGGTGGTTTTTCTATGTGCCTTTTACTTCCACCATGAATTACATCTTTTAGATTTGCAATTGACCTTGAACACCCTGATCTTCCTACTCTTCTTGTTAATATTGAGTTCATTATTTTGTTATTATTTATATTATTATTGTGAACATTTTTTGATGGATCATGCACATCGGACGGCTCAGATTTGCAGTGGAGAGATTTCTTCAATGAGAACCATACATTTGGTTTGCTGTTCTCTTTGCCCTGTTGTTGTTGCTGCTTCTTCTTCCCCTGCTTCCCACCTTCCATTTTTTTAACTTTCTCTCTCTAACTTCACCTTTCTCTCTCTAGATTTTGCTTAATTTCCACCATTTTAAGTATTAACTAACTAACCCTCAAAAAAAAACCCCAAAATTTCTTTTAAAATAAATTCCAAATTTATTTTAAAAGGTGAAAGTGTTTGCAAATAATGCTACTTGTTACACTACCAAGTATATAACTCAAAAAAATTAAAAAATAAAGAAGATATTTCTAATTTTATAACAAACAATTATTCTAACAATGTCTAAAAATGAAAGGGTTTTTTTTTTTTTAATTTGTGAAGGTTTTTTGTTTCATGCACATTGCAAAATTCTTGAGGTGGGTTTTTTTTCTCTCTCTTAAATTCTGGGTTTTAGGGTGGAGGAAGATAGAAAGAAAAAGATGGGAAAAAGAGAGAGAATATAAGAGAGTTGAAAATGGAAGAAAAATGAATGCAGAGGAAAAGAGGAGAAGATGAAGGGAGTGTTGGGAGTAATAAATTAGAAGGTGGTAAATAATTTAATTTTATGGCTTCTTTCTGACAACAGGTATTGTGGGGTGAATTCATATTTAATACTCCTACCTGTTAGCTGTTTAAGCATAAGACCCGATTGTGTTTGGTATAAGACCCGATTATATTTGGTATAGGACTATAGGAGTATAGGACCCTATGTTGGAGTGAAGTGGGTCAAACTTGACTCGACCCGACCTTATATCCCTGTCTTCATATATATTCCACCTTTCTATTCATATGAGTTTCTTATCTTAGAGGTAATCAAAAATTTCGGCCGGTTCAGGTAGAGCTGTCAATTCGGGTAAATAGGTCGGGTTTGGATCGGGTAAGTGTGGGTTGGGTCAACTCGGGTCGAATCATTTCGGATTAATGTCATAACCTTTACGGGTCGTGTTCGGGTTGGGTCATGCTTGAGTCGGGTAACGTCGGGTCATACATCTTTTCGGGTTTGGGTCGGGTTTAGGTCGGGTTAATAACAGGTCGGGTTACATTCGGGTCGGGTGAATAATAGCGGGTTTAATTCGGGTTTTCACGGGTTAGGGTCATTCTCGGGTTTGATTCAAGTCAATTATTTGCGGGTTATAATCAGGTCGGGTCATTCTCGGGTTTGAGTCGGGTTCGGTTCAAGTCAATAATTTGCGGGTTATAATCAGGTTGGGTCATTTCCAAGTCGGGTCATTCTCGGGTTCAAGTCGATTATTTGCGGGTTACAATCAGGTCGTGTCATTTACAAGTCGAGTCATGTTCGGGTTCAAGTCAGGATCGGTTCAAGTCGATTATTTGCGGGTTACAATCAGGTCGGGTCATTTACAAGTCGGGTCATGTTCGGGTTCAAGTCGAGTTTGGTTCAAGTAAAAAAATTACAGGTTATAATCAGGTCGGATCATTTCCAAGTCAGGTCATGTTCGGGTTCGGATCTCAAATATTGGGTTAACCTGGGTATCGGGTTGATTTCAAGTCGGGTCATATCAAGTTCGGGCACATTTTTTGAGTCGGTTTGTTAACAGTTCATGTAATGACATTCACGTTGACTCATTATCAATTACTTCGTTTATTATAAGAGAAATAATTTCAGATAAGTTTAAATTCTAATAAGTTTAGATAAGATAGGTTTAGTTTAGATTTTTAGAAGATAAGTTCAAACCTATTCTAATCTATTCACATTGATTCCACGGGATAAAAATTTCAAATAAGTTCATATTCGAGATGATATGTTTAGATAAAATACAACAAGTTCATATAAATTCGGATAAAATAGGTATAGTTTAGATAAGTTAAAATACAACAATTTTTTTTCTAAACTTATTTTATTTGAAATTATCTAAACTTGTTTATTTTTTTATAAGTTCATATCCGAGTTCACGTTTTTTTTTAATGGTATTTTTTAAAAATATTTAAATGGCATTATTCATAACATTTGAATAAGATTAAATAGGCAAATGAATAATAAAATTAGAAAAATAAAAGACCAATAAAAGCCTTTTAACAGCTCTTGTTCGGGTCACCACTTTCTCGAGTACAAACAAGTCAAGTCATGATCGGGTACAGGTAAATTATGTGGGTCAGATTATCATCGGGTCATTGTCATATACTCATGCTCGCATTCAATCATTATCACGTCCAATTCAATCATTATTCGAAATTATTATTTTTTTTAACTTTTTTTTAATTTGAAAATTTTTTTATATAAAATATAGGATAAAACAAACAAGCCTAAGGTCAAATAGTATTTGTAAACCGTAATTGACTACATTAATGCACATGCACCTACATAGTAATAGTATTTGTAAACCATAATTGTTTAATTGAAATATCGAATGAACTTGCACCTAAAAAGTAGTAGTATTCGTAAATTGTTATTACTAAATTTAAATAAAGAACGCACATGCATCCAAAAAGTAGTGGTATTTATAAATTTTTATAGCTTTTTTTGAGACATATAAATTGGAATACATTTGAATATTTAATAATAGAGAATTTTGTTGAAAATATTTGAATAAGTTTAAATAGGAAAATAACTCATAGAATTAGGGGAAAAAAAAAGATATGACGTAATCCTAAATTGCTAGTTATTTGGAGAAAAATGTGATAATTTATGACTTAGTTAGCAAACAAAATAAAAAAAAATTAAAAAAAGAAGAGTAATTATCACGTTCAATTCAATCATAAGTGATTCACTCCCATATTTTACCTTCATTAGAGTGTAGATCTCCTAATATACTAAAATTATCAGTCGCAAATCTCGTCATTGCCGCCATTAGAGTCTAGCTTTCCTATTATACTAAAATTCAGAGATCCACCCATGGCTATAATTTGAAAGGAATGGTGTCCTTCCAACAAGTGTATTATTCTGATAGAGGGTTCAGAATTATTACAGAGCTAATTCTTCAGTAAGGTCAAGTGATCGGAATGCCTAGGTGGAGGCCGCTTCCGATCAGTAATATTAAGGTACAATTAATATTACAGCTTAATCTTAACTGAACCCTTCGAGTCGAACCCAATCGAACAACCGATCCGAGACGACGAATTAATCCGAAGGATTTAATGAGTCGTCGGAGTTTTACGAACACAGACGTCGGATATCGAGCCTAGGGCGTCGAGGCCGAGCGTCGCAAAATCACAAGCAACAAGTACGAGCGTAGCCGTAGCATCACATTGGGCTACCCATGTGAAGTGCTAGGCTAGGCTAGCTCAACGCAAACCTAGACGCACCATGTGTGTGCTAGGCTAACCATGGTGTGCTAGGCACACCATGCGTGCTAGGCGCACTAGGCTGCCCATCGCAGCACCATGAGCGTGTGTGCGTGCCTTCGCATGGCACAGCAGCACCGCAACGTGTGTGCTTGGGTGCCTAGGCGCCATCACAGGCCACACGCACCAAGCACAGCACTATCGCATGGCTAGGCCTATGCGTGTGTGCGTGTGCATGTGCCTAGGGCCGTCGCATGCCATCCCAGCATCAATAGCACAGCACCAAGCATCGCATGCTTGTGCGTGTGGCTGGCGAGGCGATGCCCAACATGCGTGGCTCGCTAGCAGCACGCATGCTGGGTATGCGTGTGCGTGCGAGTGCGAGAGCCAGGCAGCCAGCAGCACTTGCTAGCAGCGCCCAGCGACTAGCAAGCAGCAACGAAGGCATCACCCAGCACAACAGCATGTAGCGCGCATGGGCTGGCTGGGCTGATGCATGCGAGCTGGCTGGGCTAGCTGGCAGTGCTAGCTGACATGCTGGCTGGCTGCTAGCCCAGCTGCCCTTGAGGGCGGTTTTGTGAGGGGTGGGGACCAACCCTTGGGCAATGCCTTGGGGAGCAAGGCAATGGTCCCCCCCCCCCACCTACTCTTGGTCCTCACTTAACTCTCTCTCTCCCCTTGACAATTGTTGCATTGTGATTGATTTGATTATTTATTTATTTTAGAATTAAATTAATTATCAATTTTATTCATTCTCCCACATTGTTTGGGAAATGAAAATCAAGGGTTCATTTCCCAATAAATACCAAGGCTTGGGTATTTGGGAAAGAACACACTTGAGTGGAATTGAAAAGGCAACTCTATAATTGAGTAAACCTTGAATTCATAAAACTCCAAGTTTATATTTTGTCCGGGGGCCTTGACTAACCTTCAAGGCTTAGGAAAATCGGGTCGGGTTCGAGGGTACAATCCCGTTGGAGGCCTCGCATTATCGAGGTTGAAGTAAGAGCTCGGTGTAAGAGCGAAGCACGCGTCGAGGGTATAATTCTCATCCTTACTCTTAATTGTGTTTTAATTATGTTTTGCTTGTATTAGTTGCATTAATTATGGGGGTGGGTCTTCGGGGGTTTCTTTCCGCGTAGTGAGGGTCACTACGAAACCCTACAACGGTATCGAAGCCATGCTCCTTTTAATTTTTGCAATTATTCATTAATTAAGGTGTTTTAAAGTAAGATTTAAATTCTGGTTTTGCTTATCTAATTGGATTAGAAGCTCGTTTTAATTAATTTTAAAACTTGTATTTTTTCTCGTTTTGGCTGTCGAACCCAGATTTTTGCTCAAAAATAGTGTTTTTTGGGTGGAATCGACATTCTGAAACAGATTCATCCCTCTTTGAGAACTGTCCAGAAGCCAAATTTGAACCAGAAACCCAAATTTTTGGGTTTTTTTTCGTTTTTTTCAACGAAAATTTTAAATCCTTTTAAGCCTTGATTAATGCAAGCATTACAAGGTTAGATTAAATGCATTATTGCATCCCTAATCTACTGTCATTTTAAATATCCTTAAGCATAATTATGGAGTTTTAATTAGTGCTTGAGTTGATATGCTATTTGTCACACAAACTTGATTTTTCACAATTATGCAAATAAATTGCATTAATGTGTGAATGTTTGATGTGAATGTGTAATTTTAAGTTCCTAAGCATGTTAAAGATCTAATCTTTAAAAATTTAAATGATTGGAACTTTAACCCTAAATTCCATGATTGAACTAAGTTTGGATTTTTCATTTTTTGTTGATTAAAATCCATGAAGTTCAAATACTTGTGAGTAAAATTTTGATTAATCTTCATATTGGAAGATGTAATCTTGGTATTTTACACACGTATGAAAGTTGGAAAATTTTATCATTAGATGGTTAATTTATTTTCCAACTCCCATTTGTCAAATCCATTATTAATTTGCATATTGGCTAAATTAATTATGGACATAGCTCATTCAATTTTAAGCATAAAGAAAGACCTAAAAAATGTTTCAAAATAAATTTTTGGATGATTTAGGCTTGTGCACCATTAAATTGAATTTAATTAAGTTAGACTTATTTTATTTTATTTTTCCTCAAATTGATTCTAAAATAAAATTTAGAATTAATTTATGCCACACATAAATCGGGATTAAAATCCCGAGTAAAATGCACACAAATCGATGCAAAACCGCAAGCGTCACCAAGGCTAGCCGGGCTGCCCAGCAGCCCGCATGTAGGCTGCCTATGGTGCGCGCATGGGCTGAGCATCGAAGGTGCGTGGCTGTGTGGCGAGGGGTGCTAGTGCATTGAGCTTGGGCAGTGGCGTAGGCTGCTTGATGCTTGGGGATGCTGCTTGGTAGCGTGGTAGCAAGCACCAGCCAGACCACCACTTGCTGCCACGCACCAGCATGCGAGCTAGCATGCGTAGCAAGCAGCTGGTGCTGGCCAGCGTAGTGTGCTGTGCTGGGCGC